AATCACAATTAAAAAAAAAAAAAGAAGAAAGAAAGAAAAATAGAGATACACAGAATTCTGGAAATTGATGTTGAGAAGAAAGGAATGTCAGAGAGAGAAATCTTTTCAGCCTGCTCTAGGGGTGTGGTTAAGGAATTCAGAGGGTGGCATTGTTTCCCCACCTTACTGAGAGCTGGCCATGTGTCAGGTACTGCACAAAGCACCTTGTCCCCATTATGTCATCTAATTCTCATTGCATCCTTGTGTGAGGGCATTATTCCCACTTCAACCATCTCCTGTACCAGCATGGACCCACAGGAGCAACATTAGTGCAAATGGTGGCTGGAAGGGGGAAGGGGCAGCAATGTGTGTTGGAGGAAGCCCTTCAGAGGATTCTGATGCCACTCAGGTTTGCAAATCTCTGGTGTAGATCATTTGAGTCATTTCTCCAAAGCCACACAGCTAGTGTCACCATTCCACCCCAAGCCTATCTTGCTCTAAAGTTTATATTCTTTTTTAATCCTGATATTTAAGTAGCAAAATCCTTCTTCCAACTCCATTTCCAAAGCCCAGGTTTTCGTGTAGTGTGTTTGCTTATGCTGCTGAAGTTCTCTGTGGTGGTTTGTATTAGATTTTCTTGATCCCCATTCATTTCACATGTGCTGCTCCCTCTGCCTGAAATGTACCCTCGACACTCTGTGCATGGCATGCTTCTGTGGGCACTTCATCGGAGCCCTTCTGATCATGCTAGAGTTCCTCCTATTTGTCTCTCTTGGTACTACTTGTGTATTTCCTTTTAAGCTGGTCATAATTTCTAATTATGTATTTTTTGTAATTATTTCCTTGCTTATTGTATCTCACCACTGGATGTAAGCTTTACAAGACAGGGACTATAGCTGTTTTCCTCAGAAAATTCCCAACATCTGACATGGCATAGCATGTCTGGCACAGAGAAGGCATGTAGTAAATATTTGTTAAGTCTATTTATTGGAAATGTCACCATTAAGAGTTTTGTTCTGTTTTGTTTTTAACCAGTGTCTTCCCCTCTATAACTATTTGACATATTTTGAAAGTTTTGACAATTGATTTCCTGAAATTGGAGAGTGATTGTTTCTTCTTTAAAAATATCTATTTGGTTGTACTTGGCAGCCTTCTAAAGAATGGTTTCTACCTATATTGAAATCTTTATAAATTGAGAAAAGATTTCATTTTAGTTTTAAACTATAATATTCAGTTAGGTAATGGATTACTAGAATGTTAGTTCTGTGCTCTTCTGAAGGGTGGATAAACTTGGAGACATTGCATTAAGTGAAGAACCAAAAGGAAAAAAAAAAAAAAAAACTTCACTGCTGTCAAGTTGACTCACAGTGATCCCCTCCTTGGGTTTCTGAGTTACCCAGTCTTTTTCTCCTAAGAAGCAGCTGATAGGTTTGAACTACCAGCTTGCTGGTTAGCAGTCAAGTGTTTTAGGCACTATGCCACCAGAGCTTCTCTACAAAAGGGCTGTAAAATTTACTTTCACTTCACAGCTCTTTCAAATTAGGAGCGAGATGAGCATGTGAATGAGATTCTCTCCCTTCACCCCAACCCTTTGGAAACCTCCTATATTTCCCTGAAACTTTTTTCCTGAAACACTGACTATTCATTTGACAGTAGAAACATTTCCCATCATAAGTAGATTATCAACACACCCAAGGAATCTTAATTTAAATTTGTTAGAGGAATTTTTCTCTGTCTTCTGGAGACAAGCTTTGTTTGTGAATTACTCTTCCAACATCTAAAGGAAGTAATTGGTGCTTTTAGCAATAAGAGAATGATCATTATGAAATATTCTCTCTCTCTCTCTCTTTCTCTCTCATACACACACACACACATACATGCACACACACACACCCAGAGACTTCTTGCAAGAGTGTGTGACTCAGGAGTAGCTGGACAGGAAATAGAATCCAGATCCTGCGCCATCACATCACATACTGGCTGCCCCTGAAGTCCCACAGCCTGGTTGTCAGCTCTTGGAAAGTTTGGCTTCTGTTCATCATGTACCAAAACAATGAAGCCAGAAAGTTTAGTTCCATTTAGGCTTACAAGGAAGAAAGGAGATCAAAATACCTGAAACCAGCTAGAAGAAGAATTACTACAATGAGGTGATTTGGTTTTTGTGTTGTTTTGTTTTCTACAGTCACAGCTAGGCTTAGTGTGTGAAATCTCTTTGAACCTCTTTATAATTTAGTTGTTAGACCTAGGGAGAAAGGAATGGGCTCCAAATATGATGAAAAGCAAGTTGAAAAGATTCATGAGTGTTTCAAACTTTTTTTTTTTAAATCCGTTATAAAATAAGATAATGGGGTAAATTGCCTACTATAATTCACAAGAGATATTTATATTTAATTTGTGCAAATGACCAAAGTCCTGATGGACCAGTAGGCAAGACTGTGACTGTCAACCAGCACCTGTTTTGACAGATGTTTCTCAGAAAGTGTTTACTAAGAAACCACCTTACCACGTATTTTTTTTTATTATCTTCCCTTCCTTCTCTTTTGTTTTTTAGATTAGATGCAAACAAACCAATGCAGTACTTGGAAAACAAAGCAGCTTTAAATGAGGCACTAGAACGGTCAAATTGGCCCATTTCATTGAAAGAGTTGTCGTTGTTGGAAAATGAAATCTTAGCTGGGAAACTGTATATCCAGCAGGCCATGGAACTCCAGGAGGCTACCAGGAAGGAGAATCATGTGAGCAGGGTACTGGGTGGGTGGGTGTCATGGAGGTTTCCATATTTCCAAGACTATCCTCCGACCTGTCCCAAGTCACTTCTCCATCCCTATGCTGACCTTTCTTGTCTCTCCACCCTGATTGCCAAAGGAGAGTCAATCCAGTTAAGATGACAGGACTTTATTCATCAAAAGGAAATGTATTTGGTTTTCTGTCACCTTAGTTTCTACATAATATATCCTTTAAAGGAAAAACAAAAGTGAACAGGAGTATGATGTAGTGATTAAATGCCTGAGACAGACCTGAGGCCCAGCCTCAGTAATTGATCTCACCCATTACCCAGTCTCTCTAAACCTTAGTTTTCGTATCTGTAAAATAGGGGAATTAATATTATCAGAGAGTTGTTAGAATAAAATCAGCATTTAAACTAGTTAGTACTGAAAGCCTTCCATGTGTGTTAGCAATTATTATCATGGTTAATCAAACAAACCTTTTAAAAAGAAAAAATAATTTATAATCTGACTCCCTTATTATTACCACCTTTCAAGGTTTCCTTTTAGATTTTTTTTTTTCTCCTTGAATAAATGTATTTTACACAGCTGCAGGGAGGGTGTCCATAACCAATTTATATTCTTTATAATTTAATTTTTCATAAACTTTTTCTGTTTTTACTGAATCTCCAGGTTGATATTTTGGTGGTTCCATAGTATTCCATGGTGTGTATATGTCCTGATTTATTTAACTCTTCACTGAATGTTGAATGTTTGGGTTATTCCCAGTTTTCTGCTTTTTCACATAATATTTTAATGACTCTTACAGTGTGTATAGATGGATTATTTTGTTAGGATAAATTCTTAGAAGTGGGATTCCTGAATCAAAGAGCATGAATGTTTTGAGGCTCTAGATATAGATTGCCAGAATAACAGCACCCTTTTTGACTGGATGTGTAGCTCTGGAAGAGTTCATCTGACATCTTACTGAATTCTAGATAATTCTCACACATTGACCACAAAGTCAAAAAAAAAAAAAATCACAAAGACCTGACCTTTGAGATTCATTTTTTTATTTTGGACTTTGCCAAATGATACTGTCTTTGCTTTGTTTAAAATTTTGTGTTTGCTGCTCTAGATTCTTGTATTTTGTTTTATTTGTTTTGAATTTTCTTTTTTCCCTTGAAAAATCACAATTATTTCTTCAATGATATAGAAAGCTGTGCCTTTTGTACTGGAATCAAAATTTTTATCATAAAACATCTATGTCTTTTAATGTTATTCAAATGAAGTGACTTCCTCAAAGAGCTGTTTAATGTATTCTTGGGAAGTGTTGCCTGAAATGCTCTCATAACTCTAAGTACCGGTCCCAAATGATGGACTTTTCCATGTGGAACTGGGCAGACTCTACTGCCTTACGGTAGGATTTGCTAACATTTATACCTTTCTCTATAGTTTACAAATTTGTCTATAATTTACTAGTGGAAAGTGTCGTTAATGGAGTGAAAAGAAGCCTCTAGTGATTCAGAACAAAGATAGTGTGTTTTACTGAATTTGTCTGGAATTCTGGCAAACACTTATTGTTCTGGGATGTGAACTTACTGTTCTATTTCTTTATTCCCTTATCCACCAAGTGGGAATAAAATTAATTTTCACTTACGCTAATCTCTCCATCCAAAAAGATTTGTTTACTCCCCACCATGAATCAGATTCTGTGCTTGGCACAAGAGATCCCAGACAGTGAGGAACTGTCTCATCCCTCTCATTTCTCTCTCTCTCTCTCTCTCTCATTCTCTCCTCCTGCCCCAAGGTGATTAACTACATATTAGACCTATAGTGGAGTTTGTTAACTGTTTTGAAGACATGGACTGAGCCTAGCGGAGGAGACAGATATTAGAATAGAATGGAACCTCTTCCATGAAAGTTGGGACCTTGTTCTGGCTTTATTAGTAGCTGTGTCCATAGCACCTAAAGTAAGGCCTGGCACAAAGTGGGTAATTGATAAATATTTATATTTGTTGTATGTATTTGGAACCCAGATATATACAACAGTATTACAAATATGATAACAGAATCACATCCAAAGAAAAACTGGAACAATTTTCCTGGCCAACCTGTCAAAACACCCTGTCATTCTCTAACCCCTTACCAAAGTTTTGTTTTCTTCACAGCTCTTATAACTACCTGATATTATATATTTTTTTTATGGTCTATCTTCTCTGCTAGAATAAGGAGGGGGACTTAGTCTGTTGTCTTCTGGGTACTCAGTGTCTAGAATAGTCTTTGGCATCTCATGTTGTTGATGTTAGGTGCCATCCAGTCGATTTCAACTTATAACAACCCCATGTAACAGAATAGAACTGCCCCACAGGGTTCTATGCTGTAAATTTTGGGGGAGCAGATCACCAGGCACCTCATGTTGTTGTTGTTGTTATGTGCTGTCGAGTCGGACCCTAAGCACTCACAAATATTTGAATGAATAAATGAAAGAACAAAGAAGAAGAAGTGCAATAATTGGAAGAGTTGGTTTTTAGGGAAAAGTGTGTTATTGTTATGTTCCATCGAGCCGTCTCCAACTCATAGAGACCCCTCCTTGAGTTTCTGAGGCAGTGTCACTATGGAAGTAGATTGCCCAGTCTTCCTTCTGAGTAGGGAAAAGTAGATGATTTATTTTAGGTCCTCATAATCCTTAGGTATGCAATGGTATCTCTCCTGTTTTCTTCCTTATGCTATTCTAATTTTTCTACAAGTATAATATATTGATTTTATAACCAGAAAGACATATTGTACAGCCATGTAAATACATTTTTAAAGGCACATGTTACCCTATCATGTGACATTTTCTGATGGAATTGATATTTAGGTGTTCCTCCTGGCAAATGTGTTCAAGGACACGAATAAGATACCATCTAGATAAGGAAGACCAATAATGAGCAAATGTTTGGCGTTTAGGAGAGAGGTCTGCAACAACGACATAGATTTAAAAGTCAATTGAGGTGTTGATAGAAGAAGAGACAATGGAAGGGATCAAGACAGGAAAGTTAGAGATGCAGGGGGCCCAAAGTAGAGAGACATGATGTGAGAGCCTAAGGAAGAGAGGTAATTAAGAGCCTCGTTCTGGAGTTAGATGCATCTGAATTCAAATCTCAGTACTGCCACTTTCTAGCTGTGTGGCCTGACTTAGTCCTTAGTTTCCTCATCTGTAAAATAGAAGAATCAAAATACCTACCTAAAAGACAACCAAAAAAAAAAAAAAAACCTCACTACCATCGAGTCAGATCCAACTCATAATGGCCCCTCCTTGGGTTTCCAAGGCAGTATATCTCTATGGAAGTAGATTGCCCAATCTTCCTTCTGAGGAGTGGCCAGTGGGTTTGAACCTCCAGCCTTCTGGTTAGCAGTCAAATGCCTTAGGCACTACACCATGCACATAACATGCTCAAAGCAGTGTGCAGCACTGAATGCTGAATAGTAAATGCACTCTACACATGCAAGTTTTAAAGGTTATACAGAACAATGACAGAAAAGAGCCGTTTGGGGAAGGTCACTAGTGCTCTTAGTAGAAATGTGGGAACAGAAGCCAGTTTGCATTGGATGGAGTGGTTGAAGTCAATAAAGTGAATATAGGAAGTGTAAACTTTCATTTTAACATCTTCATAAGGAAGGAAAGCAGAAAGAGATGGTGGACCTTGAAGGGTGAGTATGATTGAGAAAAGTGTTCAATTTGTATAATGGTTTTGATGGGTTCACTGCTGACTTTTCTTGGTCAGTGGCTGCAACTCTTCTTTCAATGCTCTGTGCCCACACAGAGTGTCCATAGCCCCCACTGGCTGTTCAGAGGAACTTCCATGTGCCCAGGACTGTTGTCCATATGTGAGGAACAGGAAGAAGTTCACACTTGGCCAGTTTACTCTCAACATGGCCCCTGCAATGGAAGTTTGTATATAATTTTCTTAACTACTCCTTACCATGTGTCATGAATTTTGATAATTTTTTTCCCAATTTTATCATGCCCCACCTATTTGATTTCATAGCAGACTAGTGCCTCTCAACTTTCCATGTGAAAAATGTTGGTTGGGACCTTTTGAGATGCTGGGGTGAGAAATAACATCAACAGATGCTAGTCATTCTTATTATTTGTAAATAAATATAGTCTCATTTTAAATAATTTTAGCAAAGGTCAAAGATTTTGATCTATGATTATAAATTGGAGAGGAAGAACCCTTCTGTTAATCAATAAGACCACCAAGAGTTTATTGATAATGTGTAGTTAGTAAAAGGTGATCAACGTTTGTTTGGAATGGGATCCAATCAGAAATGCTCACATGTGTTTCGAAGGTCACTGTATTTAGCCTGCTCCGGGGCACATTATATAAGAAGCTCTGGTGGTATACTGGTTAAGGCATTTGGCTACTAAACAGAAGGTCAGTGGTTCAAACCCACCAGCTGCTCCATAGAAGAAAGATGAGGCAAGTCTGCTTCCAGAAAGATTTACAGCCTTGGAAACCCAATGGGGTAGCTATGAGTTGAAGTCAACTCGATGGCAGCAAGTGAGTGAGTGAATGAGGGCACATTATTTATGAAGGGTAGATTATCTGTGGCTCTCTTATGCCTTCCTCGGCAATGGCATTGGCACCCAATACAGCTATCCTGTTGCTTCCTGAGTTTGGCACAGCTTCATGATTTGTATATTGATAAGGACCAGAGGTGAGAAGGAGAAATGACTACAAATGCTTGAGTCTGGCTAGCCTGCTTTCTGCTTTTTCTGCTTAGGCTTTCACTGGCACTCCTTTGCTGGATCTGAGATCAGATCTAAAGTGACAAGCATTATTCCCACCTTCTCTGCTCTACAGCCTGAGCTGGGTCCCATTCCATGCTTGACTGTGTAATTGTTTCCCCCTATTTCCATAATAGGAGCTCTGGTAGCATAGTGCCTAAGGCACTTGACTGCTAACCAGAAGGCTGGTGGTTCAAACCCACCAGCTACTCCTCGGAAGGAAGGTTGGGCAATACTACTTCCGTAGTGATACTGCCTCGGA